ACGCACGTCTTGTTGTACTGACTCAAAGACGTGTCATCTCATCTCATTCATTCATTCATTCATTCATTCATTCATTCTTTCTTTCTTTCATTCCTTCCGACGTGTCACCTCATCCATCGATTGATTCGTTCTTTTATCTAGTTCGATGTCATGGGGAAGCAGAGAAAGGCCTTTCATTTAGATATGTGAGGCAGCGTGGTGGAATCAGGCTCTCGTCAATTTTTGGGCATGTAGAGTTATTGGTATCATCTTAAAGCTTATTCACTTGTCTTTATTTGGATGAAAAAATATCAATTTCTCTTGAATACAAGTCGAGATATTTGCAAAAGAAGGAGGTGGGGGTCACCTGTTTTCAGAGGTAAAATTAATGAGGAAATGGCCGCCAAAGATCAATTATTTCCTTAGCTTAAGAGTTCGTGGTAACTGAAAATTTACATCTTTTGTGTCTTTAATCAACGTTTTTCAGAAAAATTCCCTCAGAAATGAGTTTTTTAATGCCCATGAAAGGTGTTGAGCCAAAAAACTAAATTTGATAAAAATCCACAAACCTGCGGAAAAATGCAAGTTTCTTCACTTTAATTATTAAAATTTTGACGAGAGCCTGATTTCACCACGCTGCCTCACATATACCAAACAAACCAGACCCTTAATCTAACTGCCAAAACAAGCAGTTTTAATATGTAAACTTTAGGAAACGTCTTGCACGTTGAAATTCACTTGGCCAAAACAAAATGGAAAGCTAGGACAGAACAGAAAAGCATAAGCATTTCAGAATTTTTTTCGTGCACAATTAGAAAGTCAACAGTAGCATGTGAAAAAATCACTCGCTCATACAAAACTAGCACCAGATTTTAGGAATCCTCTGAGGCTTACACTGCGGGGTCCCCATTGTACACACAGTGCACACGTCGAAAAAGTGATATTTTACTATCGGAGAAGGAATCAAGGTAGTATACAAACACTGATGCTAAAAGAAAAATTACAAGCAGAATAAAAGCAACCAACAAAATAATTTGAGACAGAAAGTAGACCTGAAGTCTCTATGTATATGCAGACGCATGTAAAAAGTTTAATGTTAACACCAAAAACCATTGATTACACCCACACAGTGAGAACGAATACAATCTGGATAGGGAAAACAGTGTGGAGGTCGTTGTTGAAGGGTTACATCCCATGGTGGACAGACGACGCCGGAAAGAAGGAAACAAATAAAGAAATAAAGACAGGAAGAAGGAAACAAACAAAGAAATAAAGACAGAAAGAAAGAAAGAAAGAAACACAGAAATAAAAAAGAAAGAAACAGAGAAACAAAGGAAAGCGATAAACAAACGCGTTTGAAAGTGTGGCTGACTGATCCTGCCCCATACCTGATGGTGTCCCACTTGTCAACTCCATCCGTAAAACTCTCTCTCTCCCTTTCTCTTTCTCTCTCTTTCTCTCTCTCTCTCTCTCTCTCTCTCTCTCTCTCTCTCTCCCCCCCCCCTCTGTTTCATTGCAGAAGGTACGAATGAATTTCAATATCTGTCTGTTCTTAATAGTAGAACGTGTAAAAAAAGAAAAGTGCAAATCAACTCTAAAGCTGTTGAAAGTCTGTTTGACTAACAATTCTCCATACCTGATGGTGTCCCACTGGTCAACTCCGTCCAAAGGTTTCGTTCCGTTGAGGGAGCCCTGTGCCAGGCCCACCAGCGTGGGGAACCAATCAGAGACGTGGATCAGCTCTCTGTTGACTGTTCCTTTCAGTGGCACCCTCCCGCCGTGTGTGTGTGTGTGTGTGT